AGTGTCATGTCATAGAGGACTTGCACCAGCCCACTGACCAGATGCCACCTGAGGGCCAACCTTGCAAGTGGCCCTTCTGAAACTAGCCACCTCAGGCCTGCCAGCTGTTCTTTCCTGTACAGTTCATTTGTAGATTTTAATCATTTTCACTTTCTGATAGCTCTCAGCATCTGAGTTTGCAGACCCCTGCACTCAGTAATCCTGGTTGAGAGCCCTCTTGTAGGTGGCCTGGGAACAATGTGGAAACTAGTTTCAAATGAACACTTTTCTGGCCAGCCAGGGAATGACTGTTCCCATGAATCAATAACTAGTGAAAGATATTTTCCCTTGGGACCAGCAAATTCAAAAGGCCTCTATATCATGGGGTTTTAAGGCTGACCAGCCGCTTCCAGAACAGAGCCTAATGTCCCTTGCTTCCCCAGGTGGCATCGGAGAGGCCGTCTCTGCAGCTGTTTCCATGGAGCCTGACATCCTAGTCTACCAACTGTCAGTGCCAGGAGTGCCACGGTGTGGGCAGTCGGGTGACCTGCTAGATGTGTTTGGAATTAGTGCTAGACACATTGTAGTGACTGTGAAATGTATTTTGGTTAACTAAAATAGCCATTGGCTTTTGTCTTAAGGGTCTTACGCTTCTTGCCAAACCGTCATTTAAATCTATATCATTTGTGCTTCTTAAAAGCAAAGCTAGCTAACTACTTTTCTGTTAAGCCATAACTACATATACATGTGTAACTTGCACCTTTGAGTCATTCAAGTGGGTTATAAGGATTTAAACCTAAGAAGAGCTAACGAAACAACCACCTAATACCGAGTTTTCTGATAATACTATAGATATCTGGGCTGAGGCTCAATGTAGAGTAACAGTTTCTTAAATGTGTGTATTTTCCTCATAAGTAAAGAAAGTGAATTGTAGGCAGCAGCCACCCGGGGCATGTGGCACTATAGCACCGTGCTGCACACTGCTGTCCCAGGTCAAGAATTCACAAGCTGCCATCCTACCTGCAGCTCCCTGGGTACTCTGTGACTGCAGATGCCCTGGAATCGCCTCTGGTGTTTGTCTTCACCTACCCTCTTATGGTGCAGAGGCTGCGCAGCAGCAGTAAAAGTTCTGGGGATGTCCCGTGCTGCTTGCGGTGTTCTGTGAAGAGAGGAAACAACTAGTTCTAGTCTCCACACTGCATTTTTGTGAGGTCTCAGAAACATCACATTTGCCCAGTGACCAAATTGTTAGCTCGATTATTCATCAACTAAGGATACTACTTACTGTTACTGTTATTGTTAATAAAGCATTTAAAAATCAGCTGCTTTTTTCCATTTGTACCTTGTTTGTGTAATTTGGTTTCTCCCTGATAAAATCCTAAGGAAGGAAGGAGCTTCTGTCTAAACTAGAAGGAGAAAAAGCCATGTCCCCTAGGAGCAAACCCAGGAAAGGGTACCGCCCGGGCAGGAGATTCACCACTAGAGGACAGTGTTTGGCCTGAGAAGCCATCCCCAAGCCGACTCGTTTCAGCTATGAGCAGCTAAGTCATGTGGCTGGAATTCAAGAAAAAAGTACCAGCCAGATAAAGATGGATTCAGACTTCAAAACTAAATTTAAAAGTGACTGGATGTGTCTGGTATGTCATGGTCCTTGTTGTTATTGCCTTCATTAACTGTTCATCAGGGGTCTTTGTTCTAGAATGTGTGGGTAGAGACCGAAGAACCAGCCTGGCACTAAACTCATTCCTCAGGACCTGCTCATTCTGCTCTTGCCCTTTTTAAACTACTGAGCTGCTTCCTTGGCATGTGAAATAAGCATGAAATTTGTTGTGCTTATTTTATAAGATTTCAAAATTTTTATTTTTTTGTAAAAGTTGATATAATGGATACAAAAATATATGAAAATATTAAAAATAGTTGATTTTTCAGTAAAAATCACAGCTGGTAAAGGGTCATTGTAGGATGTTAAAAAACTGCACATAAGCAAAATTTTTGACTTCAGCCATCTCATACTCCATACAGTTCACCCATTGAAAGTATACAATTCAGTGGTCTACTCAGAGTTGGTATACAACCATCACCATGGTCAATTTTACATTTGTATCACCCTGAAAAGGAGCCCTGTACCCTTTAGTTGTCACTCCCCATTCACCCTCATAGGCCCTCATGTACTTTTTGTCTCTGGATTTGCCTATTCTGGACATTCCGTATGAATGGAATCATATTATGTGGTCTTTTTGTGCCTGGCTTATTTCAGCAGCATGTTTTCAAGGTTCATTCGTGTTGTGGCACGTGCCAGAACTTCATTCCTTTTTAAGGCCACAGAATAGTCCCTCCTTTGTATAGACCACATTTTATCCAGTCATCAGTTGATGGACGTTTGAGTTTTCACTTTTCGTCGTAATGCTAAGAACATTTGTATTCAAGTTTGTGGACATATCTTTTCATGTCACAAGTGTGCATTAGGAGTGGACTTGCTGGATCACATAATTCTCTATCCTTTTGTGTGTTTAAACAGTTTTGTGAGGCGTGAATGAGATGACTGCTGTGACATCCAAAAAGCACTACTCTGAGCCATTATGAGCAGTCAAGGTAGAATGTGAGGCCACATCTGTTTAACTTCAGGTGTAGAATGCCCCCATCTGGTGATACCTAGAGCAGAAACTGCACATTGTGGCAGCCTAAAGAACGAATAACATCCACGACTCAAATGCCATTCCAAAAGCCCGAATTCAGGACCCCTCCCCCCACAGGTGCTAGGAAAGAACAGTAGGACGTAGCTAGTAATAAGCATTGAGAGTGGCCCTGTGGCCAGCTTAGCCCAGGCATAGCTCCCAGAGCAGCCAAGGTGAGGTGGGGCAGGCACGCTCAACTGGTGTAGGCTCTGAATGTTCCTTAATAGTCCTGGGACCATGGACCCTGGTGCTCTTGCCCCTGAGTCTTCAGAACGTCTCCTTGCTGCTAATTCCCTCCCATGGAAGAGTAGCACACACTGAGGGTACCCCCTGCTGCTTGGGTTTCAACTCCAAGTCTGCTCCTTGGAGCTAGTTGTGGGTAACCCATTTTGCCTCAGTTTCATCTATTAAAAGGGATGACGGTACTAACGATGGTGCTAGTATCTGTCTCAGGGCTATGGCCAGGATTTTAGAAGTGCCATTGAAATGTCCTTATTGGGAGCTGCTCTGTCTTCCTGGCCAGTTTCTCCTCCCGAGCCGCTGCCTCGGCCCCCTGCCCGCCCCAGCCCTTCTCCGGCCTCACTGGGATTGTCAGGGCTCAGCGAAGAATCGGGGCTGCCTTTCCCCTCCCTGGCCAGCCGCCCCTCATGTGCAGCCCTGGCTGCTCGCAGCCCCCTCCGAACCGCCTTTGCCCTACTGGTTCGCCCCCTACCCACCATTGCACACAGCCTCTGGCAGGCCCGCGCTCCGCCCGCCCCGCTGGCCCTGAGCCCGTAGCGCTCGCTTGCCCGGGCTACAATCCACGCGAGGGCGGCGGTTCGGGCTACGTCATTGGGTATTGTTCTGTCACTCATCGGGCCTCAGCCAATCAGCGGCACCAGCGACCAGCGGGACGCAAAAGGCATCAGCGGAGGGATGAACTTGCACCGGCACGAGACTGAATGGATCCCGGCTGGTTTCGTGGGGCCTGGCACTCAGGCGGAAAGGGGAAGGCAATGGCCCTGGGTTCCAGGAACGAGTCAGACAAGGGCACTGCTCCTACCCTCATGCTGACCAGAGATGGAGGCCAGAGGTATGGCCAGAACGCTATGGTGGAGTGGGGTTGGGGTGGTAATGGCGGTGGAGGGGTAGGGGCGCAGGGCAGGGGAGGGAGGTGCAGGTAAGGGTGGTGGCAGAGATGTGCAGTCCAGGCCCTCCTGGACTCCTAAAGGGGAAGGAAAGTGATGCAGAGACTCAGACCTCCAAAGCAAGTGCGATCTGGACTCCAGCCAGAGCATGCCCGCCCACAGACACCGGCCCAGATGTGGCCTTACTTGCCACCAGAAACGGTACGGTCTACCTCCCCACTGTGGTACCATGCTCTTCCGGGCCATGCTTGGGATCCGAAAAGTAGTGGCCTGGAATTCAGGAATCCTGAAATGGTCCTACATGGGATCCCTTATTTGGTGAGGACAAACAGCAGTTACAGAACACGCAGAGCAGGAACACAGGAGTCCACCAGGGGGCGTAGGAGCTAAGAGAAAAGAAGCCCCAGGACTAGCTAGCATATGGCTTATCCTCCTGGAGCATGCCATGATTGGACCCTAGTTTTGTCTAATGACAACAGGGGGTGCTTGCAAAGGGTCTCGAGGACAACGGGTGCCCGCTTGCAGGGGACCTGCCCAAGTGAGGTAATGAGTGCTCCGGCAGTGGAACACCAGTTCCCAGGCACTGGAGGGCAGGCTACTTACTTACATCAGCAAGGGAGGCTCAGAGGGACTGGGGGCTTCCCAAAGGTCAGCTTCAACTGAGGCCAACCAGATGTCCCATTTCCAAGTTTCGGGACCTCACTCCTCCAACCACTGCCCTATGAGAGACGTGGAGAGGCTGGGAATTCGAATTGCATCGGGATTCCGTAACCCACGCGGTCGAACGTTGTGTTTGATTTTCAGCAGTCGGTCCTGCGGATACGAGATGTAAGGGAA